AAACAGTTCATCTAGGTCTCCAAATTCAGCCTCTGTTCCGGATTCTTCTGAAAAAACAAACCCACAGCAGCTTTATGGGCTGCTGCTGCCAGCCATGTGTGCACCGGCGCGCGCACGGCGTGCATGGGCGTGCGCATGGGCTGCGCGCATGAGGGGCTGTCATGGCCCCCTCGTCGAGCCGCCGCGACGTCATTTCTTCCTTTGGGCGTTTCTCCTTCGTCCGGACTCCGATTCAAGTGAATTTTTTTTTGAACTTGACTAATTTTTCGCTGTCTTTCCAACGGTGTTCTTGGTTGCACCTGGTTTTTCCTGAATAATTACCAGTTTACCCTTTTTGCCTTAAGTGCTCGTTTTTCTTCGTCATGCCGTTTCTCCTTCGTCCGGACACCGAATTATGCGATTCTTGAATCCATCTTGATTAGTTTTCCGTTGTCCTTCCAGTGGTGTGCTTGGTGGCACCCGAATCTACAATTTTCAGAAATGACAATTTTGCCCCTGGGGGCTTATTTGTTATATTTTCGATCTTTTGCTTCCGCATCAGTTCTTGTTAAGTTCCACGACCTCATGAAAGGTCACTTTGACTTCTTATAGTCTTATTTTCTGTTTTTGCTTCTGCATTCAAATTCGTTATCGGATCATCCTTACGATTTATCATAGGACACGCTGGCCTAAAAACTAGGGTCGTCACATATTTGATTCCATGTATGTAATGTGTACTTAAGTACACTCCTTTCAATGTATTTGATATGTATACGATGAGGCCGGAGGCCAATGGCATGTATATTGTATTCTATGCAACTTTTTAACTTCATGAAATGTTATGAAAACCTTGAAAGATCGCAAGTCAATGCTTCTCCATGGTTGCATCGGGTGTGGGAATTCTATTCTCATTCTTTTATAGGGTCTTATTAATCTTGTATGAAGTGTGGCCAAGGGCCAAATGGTCATTTGACTCCATTTTACATTTTTGGATTCCGAGTTTTCATTCCAAGTTCCATTTTTGCCTTTTGCCCGTTGGGGGGTCGGATTTTGCATCAGTGGTATTTTTAAGTCGTAGACCATTGTAGCATGTCCAAATAGGTAAGTTACATTTGCGTGCATGGTCGTTTCTTGACAAAACCTTATCGTTTGTGTTTTGAGCTTCCTATGAACTCATTTTGAAGTTTTGTTGCATAATCTGATTTTAGGGCACTTTGGGGTTTTCCTTCGGGAAATAAATTCCGTTCTTAATATGGTCACTTAGAAAATGTGATTTTGGGGGGGGGGGAGGTTTCTTCTTCGTGTTTTTCCAGAAAATATTGTCTTGGTACCAAAAATCCCGTGCAAAGTTTGGTTTTTCTGCTATGCTATAGCAACTTTTTTTTATATAACTTCTTGCCCTTTTATGATCTAGGGGCATTCTAGATACTTCATATTGTTTCTTTTTCATTTTCGTCCGTGATTCAGGTAGAAAACGTGATTTTAGGAGGGATTTCTTCTTCGTGTTTTTACAAAAAAAATTATCTTGATGCCGAAAACAACTCGCAGATCTGGAAAATCTGGTCGTTCCAGGTTTTTTCCGGAAAAAGTGCTGATCTAAGGGGCATTTCGGGTATTTCACTTGTAAAATAAAATCTTCTCTTGACATGGTCATGTAGAAAACATGATTTTTTTTTTTTTGGGGGGGGGGTTTGTTCACAACTTTTTGCCAAAAAATGTCATTTAAGCCTTCAAAATATCATTTGAATTCGGAAAATGTGTGCAGGCCCTGCTCATACTTGAAACTCAGAAAGTCTAATTTTTTGAAACTTTAAGCCTTCATATCTTCATCATTCGGACTCCAAATCAAGTGATTTTTGAGTCTAAGTTTATTAGCTTTTGCTGTTCTATATAACAGTATGCACAGTTGTATCAAATTATATCTAAAAAGACCATTTTACCCCTTGTAAAGTACCCTTGCCGCACTGATTTTAAACTCAAAAGTTGGTTTTTATGAAACTTTGACGTTTCATATCTTCTTCGTCCGGATTCCGAATCAAGTGATTCTTGAGTCTAGATTCATTAATTTTTACTGATCTATCTAACGGTATGCTCAGTTGCATCCAATTTTGTCTAAAAAGACCTTTTTACCCCTTGCGAAGTACCCTTACTGCATTGATTTCAAACCCAAAAATGTGATTTTTATGAAACTTTGGAGTTTCATATCTTCTTCATCCGGACTCCGAATCAAGTAATTCTTGGGTCTAATTTAATTAAATTTTTGTTGTCTTTCTAGTGGTGTGCTCAGTAGCACCCGATTTTATATTTTCAGAAATGACCATTTTGCCCTTCGGGGCCTGTTCGGTCTTTTTCTGATCATTCGTTCCCGCATTAGTTCTTATTGAGTTCCATGACCTCATGGAAGGTCACTTTGACTTCTTAGAGTCTTGTTTTCTATTTTCGCTTCCGCATTCGGATCCGTTATCGGGTCAACCTTCGGTTCATCACAAGACACGCTGGCCTAAAAACTAGGGTCGTCACATTTTATAAGCATGGCCATGAAAGCCTTATTATTTTGTAAACTTATTCCTTGGTTTTAAATCGTTAAATTTTTGGGAGATGTACATATTGAATGATAAAGGTTTAAAATTCTTAAATGATGATTCACGTATTCATTTTGGTAATTTAATGCATTGTCAATTAATTAGATGATGTCGGGTTTTAATTTTCACATTCACACACATTAATGGCATTGGAATAGGACAAATGGAGTTAGTACATTGATCACGTAGTATTTGGGGACCATCTAACCGGTTAGATGCGCCATCTAAACGATTAAATGGCCTGGTAGTGAGTGTTGTAAGTGTATGTCATTCATCTATGCCCACAGATCCCTGAAGTGTGCGCACAAATGAGCATCTGTTCGCATGGGGCAAGTGTGCGTACAGATTAGGTTTCGGGGTTAGTGTTGTAAGCGTGAGTCATTTATCTGTGCGCACAAATGCCTAAAGTGTGCGCACAGATGAGCATCTGTGTGTACAAATGGGGCAAGTGTACATATAGATTGGGTTTTGAATTTTTGCACATCCATTGGAATATCATATTATCGATAGGATAACCCAAGTGTGTGCACAGATGATCATCATGCGTACAAATCCACCACGTGTGCACACAAATGGTCCAATAATCACTGTTTCACCAAACTTTCTGTATAATTACATATTTGACCCCAGATTTCAACCAAAGTACAGAATGACCTTAGAAAATGATAGAATTACCCCTAAAGGGTATGAATGTTATATTTTGAAACCACTTTTGGTTACGGTAAAGGTCTATTTTACCTTTCTAGATTCTATATTATTAATTGACCACGTAATATGACTATTATACCCTTATAAACCCCAATAGCATTAGAATGACGTGTGACTACCATGAGGCTCCCGGATCTCATTTAAATCATTGGATAACTTTAGTAAATGATGGTTTTACCCTTAGTGGACCTTAAAGTATTAAATTAATGTAAAATGACCATAGTACCCTTGTGTGATCGCAGGTTCGGGTAAAGACCCAGTTAGTAACCCAGATCCCGGGTTTGGGTAGTGACAAGTAAAAAATATGCCAAACGAGCCTTAAGTTAATTACTTATTGGAGACTGTAGTGGTGTTCTATTTTCTCTCTTTTTTCTTTTTCTTTTTTTTTTTTTCTTTCTATGTAATTGGTACAAGTAGTCTACTAGTTACACAGAATAATTTTAATGTGTTCATTCATTACTAAAACCAAGAGAGTAATGATAGAGAGTCCAACGGGTACACAGCGGTATTAATGACACATCATTCCTCTCATATAAATCAGTCGGAGTTGTCCAACTTTTGAACTCAAAATCATTATTCAAACCAAAATACTATTTCAAAATTTCAATATTAAACACCTATACAACATATATTTTTTAAAATAGAGCATTTTCATGACAAGAGTAAAATATAACAGAAACTAAATTGCAAAAAATAATTCAAGTTCGTTCACACATCATCAGGCAATTCCAATCCAAATTTAGTCGGTACCTAACAACTCTTTTTGTTACTTAGATGGGAGTTCAAATTTCAGATCATATTGGGCTTTAGGCAAAAGTATCCGGGAAATTGATAAGAAGTTAGTTTGGCCTCATGCCCAAACCAGTGGTTTACATCTCGGTTGAGCTCAAGTCGTTAACAATGTCCAACCAACCCATGTTACACCACCCATTTGGCTGTATCACTCATCCCAAAATTCAATTAAGAAACAATTAACAGTTCATCATCTCATAATTTCTTTTTTTGTTTTTTGAAATATGAAAGAAGTATCGCCACTCTAGACGAATAATTATGGGTGTTCAAACATGTAGCTGCACGGGTTGATACGCTCAGGGCCTAATATCCATCGATTAGGGCTTGGACTACTGGAGTATCTAATCCCATTTCTTTATCCTAACTTTCATCTCTTAGTGTCAGTGTCGGCCCGACGCAATGGTTGGTGTTCTTTCCCCATCTCTACATATTTCACCGCTGAAATTCCCTCTGCCCCTAGCAATCATACAGAGTCCGAGGTATGAGACCCACCCACCAGGATGATGTAAAAAAAAAAACCACGCAAACACACAGGAAGGGAGAAAGAAAAAAAGAGGAAAAAAGACGGAGAGAGATAGATTGAAGACATACCTGACATTTGATATTGTTTTGTGTAAAAATAACATTTCATATTATTTTGTACAAAATGACCATGAACTCCAACCCTCATATTATTATTTTTACTAGTTTTATAGTAAAATAAAAAATAATATTAATAATAATAAAAGAGAGTATTTCTATAATTTTCATAGTAAACAAAAGATGCTCTATTTAGACTATTACAAATTGATGAAATACAACAACCAATCAAGACATTCTGACCCAGAAGATGAATACACTTGCTGAAAAACAAACAGGTCCATACAAAGACAACATTGCCAAGAAGCTTAGCCTAGGTCAATTGAACAAGAAGATTAGAACCATTATAAAACTAGATCAAGTCAAAGTAACAATGTTATGAAGCCTCGTACCTAGAAAAACCAGAGAAATTTTTACATGTTCCCGGTGGATCACAATTCGTCACACAATTTTTACATGGTCTGGGACTACAGAGTCCCGACTAATCACAACTTGCACTTGCAGGTGAAAAAGCAAGATTCAACAAAAGAAAGAATGAATTCCACCCTTCTCTTACCATTGAACATTAGGAAAGCTCACTGACAGCTGCTGCTGCTGCTTTTTAGAGCTCAACTTGGCCGGAACCATGTAATAATTTCTCCGAAAAATCAAGTGAACAATACAATCCATGAGAAAGTAAACATGTGAGAGCATACAAAGATTGAGACCATACATTCTTAGCCTTGGCAACAAGGGCCCGAGAAATACTTCATATACTTGGAACATAAAATACTGAACTTTCTTACCAGATAGCCCCACAGATGAAGCCAGGAGAAGGAAGACAACAGCTGGGTCATAAGAAACGCCCAACTATACCGAGTGATCAAAAATACACCGCTGCTATTTTTCCGCTTCCTTGAAAATGAACGACAAAATAGCGAATTTCTGGTCCCTTTGTCCCCTGCCTGTCTCTGAATTATAAAGCAGTGACCTGGTAAGAAAAGATGCTGATCCTGGAGAATTCAAGTGAGCAGAGCTTCTGGCGAAACAGAAGCTAAAAATGATAGTAAGTTTAAAGCAAGTGACAAATACAATTTACCAAAAAGACTGAAATATCGTTGATAAATGATTAAAAACTGCACAGTACATGTATTATACTAGCGAAGAACCCTAGAAACAGCCAAAATGGCATTATATGTAAAAATCACAAAAAATAAAAAGAGAAAATATAATCACTAAAAGAAAATAAATACACACAAAATCAGTTCAATCCGAGTCCAACTCGACCACCACTAACAAAAATTCCAAAATTCGGCTCACTTGTAGCACTAAAAAATGCCCTCGATGAAATTTGTCCAAAAAGGGTCATGTCATGAGTGAGGCTTGTGAGTATTGATCATTAAGTCCAATTCTGATCGGGAATGAACATATTCCCACAAATGTGTCAGCGTAATGGTCCAGAATATTATCTGCAACCCGTTCTACATCAGTTTCACTGAATAGTAAAATGAGGAACAGCCCTCCATGTTGAGTGAAAAATTCCTTTCTATCATTACACATTTAACAGTATAAAGATCACATTTAACTATACCATAATAAAGTAACAAAAAGAAATTTGACGACTTCCCTCTAACCCCAAAGGAGCAATTCTCCAGACTGACAAAAATGAAACTTACATTAGCTAATGCCCATTTCAACACAAAGATGATTAGGAAAGAATGAGTAAAGTTTTAACATAAAGTGAAACTTCCATTAACCTATTTCAACACAAGCAAGATTGATTACTGCAAACAATGGACAGAAAATTTTAAATCCTGTGAGTACTAAAATAATTTACATAGCAAGAAAAGGAAAGTATGAGACCAAGTGGGATATTGGCCAGCCCCATGGTTACAGGTTGCACATTTCTATACATTTGTGAAGCCAATAGGAACTGTTTGCTCTGAAACAAAAGCCAAGCCCTGAATCAGTCTAGAAATTTCCACCGTATCATCCAGATAATATTTAGCCTTACTGGGTTTTCTGCCAACAGTACATGCAAAAACTTCTGCGCAGGGTGCTATGGATGGACTAGCCATAGAACTGGAAATCACCTGGAACATGTCTTCATCAGATCGATCGTCTCCTATGCACAGGACAAAATCTGGTGTCATATTCCTCTCTTGCATGGTGGAAAGTAATCGTTTGGCAACAAGTCCTTTGCTTACACCCTGAATACATATGCATAAACATGTTAGGAACTAAGCCTGTAAAATAAAGCCGAACTCTTTCAAGAAAACTGAAACCTGTTTGAATTCTTCAAGAAATAAGGGGAGTAAGAAATCAATAGTCTGCTTAAAAGACTATTCCTAAGTGAAAATTGAGAAGAATGCGAACTACATTAAATTCTCACCTAATAACTAGCAGGAGTACTCTAATGCATCAACCCTAACCCAAATCAAGCCCAACTGTCCAATACATAAGCTTGGAATGACATTTTCCAAACAAAGGATTTGGGCCATAATGTAGTAGACTTCAGTAGCTATGCTAAGTAACTGGAGCTTGACCGACTAAATGCCTATATTACAATATCCACATTATCTTTAAAAATAAAAGAAAAGCTTTGACACTTTTCAACTATAATATTTTACATAAGAGGCACCCTTGTTAACCCTTCTTGGTTTCAACTATAAGTTGCTTATAATGCCTGCATTCAGTTTTCAACTCGGTTTGCACAAGAAATCCCATCTACTGCATGTCCAAAACACATAATTTTTTTCTTCTTCTAGTAGTTTAAGTCATTTCAAGTCTTCCATTGGTATATCGTCCTTCAAAACGTGAAGGACACATGCATGGCAGAACTAGAGAATGAAAGAACACAAGATATTGAAGATAAGGTATTTCTTTCTCACCAGATTGAATAAATTGGGCAGACCCTTCATTTCAGAGAACTCAAGTTACAATCTACCAAAAACACATTCATTCTCATATTTAGCTGACCCTTAGAAGAGAATTGCTAACAGGCCCCAAAACTCTCATGTGAGGCTCAGAATGATGCATCAGTAATTGATCAAGGAATAATTGAGTCATACCTGTGGCTTAACCTCCACAATATTTTGCCCACTCTTGACTGTGACTGGTTCATTAACAAGCACACTTTCAAGATGATCAAGAAGTTCCTTGGCTTGGCAAGATCCGAAATCAGGATCTGCATCTTCATAACACCAGACAAGTGCAGTTTCCTTATCTTCAATCGTGGAACCATCGGTTGTCTCTGTGTAAAGCTTCATCACTGGTTCTGCGATCTGCTTCCAGCTACAATCTATCAACGATATACATGTTTCCCATTCCTCACCCCGCTTCAACCTGGAAATACATAGTCATCAGTTTTCAATTAAACATTTTGTATAGATCAACAATCAACAATATTAATAAATAATCATAATTTTTAACTACCTTAGAAAACAGCCATGCTCAGCTGCAATCCCGAGCTTTTCACAAGGAGAAAACCATTCTGCCAACATGATCCGGCTTCTCGCACTGACAATGAAAACCATATTGTTCTTGTCTCTACACAAACTGTTTAGCATCTCGATGGTTTTAGAGCTTGGGCTCTTATCGATTGAAGCTTGCGGCATTAAGGTGCCATCATAATCAAGAAGAATTGCCCTAGTTATAGTCCTTCTGTAAGCAGGAACAATGTATTCCATTGAGAGCTTCCTGAAACTAGGGTCAAGTGCAACAACCCTGAAACTCAACCCAAATCCAATACCCCAGCACCTACACCGCACATGATCCTTACACGTTCTCTCCAAATCTTGCAAGAAACTACGAGCCCAATATCCAACATCATGGGTACTAACATATCTATAATGCTTCTCATGCCGTAGTTGTTTTTCTGGCTCGGCCATTTCCAGCGCACAGTCCATTGCCTCTGCCACTGCATCAATATTCCATGGGTTTACTCGAATTGCTCCACTCAAAGATGGGGAGCATCCGATGAACTCGGACACGACTAACATGCCCTTCTTTGGGGTGGATGGTTCTATCCCCAAAGTCTTTAATAATTTATCATTTGCTTGGCGACAAATTACATATTCATAAGGTATGAGATTCATACCATCCCTGACAGCTGTGACCAAGCAACACTCAGCCACAACATAATAAGCAATTCTCTCATAAAACTTGAGAGGCTGATCAATCAAGACAATGGGTTCATACCCTGGTTTCCCAAAGGTTTCATTAATCCGCTTCACTGTTGAATATGTCTCAGCCTGAACTTCTTTCACATCTTTGCCTCGGCCCCTAGCTGGATTGGCTATCTGCACTAAAACAACCTTCCCTTGCCACTCTGGGTGCTGCACAAGCAGCTGTTCCATCGCCAATAGCTTCAGGCTAATGCCCTTAAATATGTCCATATCATCCACCCCAAGTAACATTATCCTATCTTGATCACAAAACTGCTTGACAAGCTCGGCAACCTTTGCTTCGGTCTCTGGAAGGCTCAAGACCGACTGAAGCTGGCCCATATGGATACCAACTGGAAGAATTTTTATACTAACAGTCCGACCATAATACTCAAGGCCTATATAGCCCCGCTTTGATTCATAAGACAAGCCAAGCATCCGACTACAACACGAGAGGAAATGACGGGCATAGTCGAAAGTATGGAACCCAATTAAATCAGCATTCAGAAGAGCCCGCAAAAGGTCCTCCCTGATGGGCAAAGTCTTGTAAATTTCCGAAGAGGGAAAAGGGCTATGGAGAAAAAACCCAAGTTTAACTCTGTTGAACCTCTTCCTCAAGAAGGTGGGCAGAACCATTAGATGATAATCATGAACCCACACAAAATCATCTTCCGGGTTAATCACTTCCATAATCCTATCTGCGAAAATCTTATTAACTGACACATAAGCTTGCCACAGCGAGCGATTGAATCTACCGCCAAGGTCTGGTGAGAGGGGCAACATGTAGTGGAACAAAGGCCACAACTGTTGTTTGCAGAACCCATGGTAGTATTTACTAAACAGATCAGGCGGTAAAAAAGTGGGCACACACTTGAACGTCTCAAGAAGTATCTGTGACACCTCATCTTGTTCATTTGGATGAATTTCTTCCTTGAGACAACCCACATATATAACATCAAGCTCATCATCACCCAACCCATCTTTCAATTGAAGGAGAAGTGAATTCTCATCCCAAGTGAAAATCCACCCCTTGCCATTATCGGGTTTCCGCTGCACCCTTATTGGCAACTGGTTGGCTACAATGATTATTCGATCACGCTGGACCAAGGATGATGAGGGGTCAGAGCACACACTCTCTGATGGGTCATCGTCCAGATCAGAAATTATACCAGCAACAGTCATAATACGTGGAATCCGGTGGGTCATCCGGCTAAAAGATGGGGATGGAGCCTCGCCGGAGGCGAAATCCAAGAGGTTTGAGTATGATTTTGATACCATTTTTCACTACTTCACAACAAACCTACCAAACCTAAACCAAAACAATGCTTCTATTAGTGGACATACAATAATTTAAACTCCCACTAAACTAAGAATACCACTAGCACAAGCAATTTAACACAAAAACAAGGCAATCATTATATTTTTTTTTTGTTTTTTACTACATCAAGCAACAAACCAATAAATATTTGTGTGTACCAAAATAAACCAACAAAAGGTTGGAATAAATTTCTCGGAAGAGTTTGACAGCTAGATCAAATCATCGGTGGGTAAGGCATGAAGTTCCGTGTCAAACACATAGAAGCAGTAAAGGAATAGAATAGATTCAAATACATATACTGTTACAGAGAATCATTCTGATATATATTAATCAACCCAGTGAGAAGCACAAGCAGATTTGAAAGAAAATTGCAAAGACAAATTATGAAAATTAATTCAAGAACAGTACAAGAAATTACCAGCTTTTGACATTTGACCTCCCCAAAAGTGAAAACCCTAATGTAGAAAAACATAAAATAAAAAAGACTGTGCATTTATATACACACACACACATATATATATATAGATTATATATATTTCTTGGTTAACTTTATGAAGCTCACTCCAGCTTCAATAAGCTTCTTATATACACTTAATGGTCTGACTGATGAAAATTATAATATTGTTTCCTTTTTTTTGGAACTTTATACAACTTTTGATAAATATCAAGTTATATGAAATTTAAACCACGCAAAAACATAAGAAATATCATGAAGGAACGTTAAGGGCAAGGCGAAAAGAAAATCGACGGTGGAGATTTGACGTGTACATGGAACAGAGCATCATGGTATCATTTCTCGTAGGCTCTATCCGTTATGCTTGCTTCGTCGAAGCCGCCACGAGGCAAAGTGGGAATGATATGGCATGTGGAACCCACGAGCTTTGTATCCTCCAATCGTTGTTTAGTTCGTCGGATTTACCACGTGGCCGTTCGTATTCGATTTCGTCGAAACGGTGCGCCACGTGGCGAGCTGGCGTGATTCATCATCAATGTGTCGTTTCGACCAATTTATGGGACTGCCGACACTGTCACCGTTTGGCGTTATATTATTTGCTATACGTTTGGTAAGACAAGATGTAAAAAAACAAAGACAAAAGGAGGAAAATACTCAGTCCGATCTTAAAATTCCTTTTTTATTTTTTATTTTTTGCCCTCAAAAATTATGCATCAACTGAAAAGTTTGTATAATTAAAAAAAAAAGTCTTCACTTCAAAAAACTTTTTCAACTAATAATATCAACTATTCGGGAAAAAAAATAATATATCAAATGGATAATTTTAGAGTTTAAAAAAGGACCAATATATTAACTGCGGTTCCTTATAAATAACTGAAATTTTAATCAGGGATGGTCATTTCAGGACAGAGGCAGGGGTAGCAGGGAAAGAGCAAAGAAAAATAGAGAAAAATTCATTTCAAAATTATTTTTCTTTCTTTCTTCACAATTTTTCAAAATAATTTATGTATAAATCGAAATCAAAATATTTAAAAGTTCATTAGTCATGAATAAACACCAAAAAAAAAAAAAAAAACTAATGTGAAATGAATAATGATATACAATGCGAAGTAAAAACGCGAAAGAGTCCTCGAATTTAAAGAGGCTTGGTGTAACGGGTGGGCGTTTGTCTAATTATCCAAAAATTTAAACTATTGGGTAGTGATCCATTATATACCTTTCAATTTCCATACGGATTTGATGTGGGACAAGTCCCACTTGTAACATTCTTTTCCACCCGAATCTGCGCAACCCCCTCATTGCGGTCCGGCCACCCTGGCTATCCGGGGAGCAGACCCTGACGTCCTCTGGGCCGAGCGCTTGGCGTTCTGATACCAATTGTAATGGGTGGACGCTTGCCCATTTACCCAAAAACTTAAGATGTTGGGTAGTGTTGCATACCCACTCATTTATACACCTTTTAATTCCCATCCGGATCCGATGTGGGACATGTAACGACCCTGTCATTTTCCTCCCTTTTCTTTTTCTTGAAATTTTATGGATAATTTTTTTTTCTGTTTAATTTTCTTTTCCGAATTCTGTTTCTCGTTACTTAGTGTCATCATGAGTGCGCTCAGAAACGGTTTCTGAGATTATTTCGTTTGGATTGACAACTTCCTTTAAGGATCGAGTCATTTCCACATTTTCACTTTTCGGACACAATTCACTTTTCGTCTTTATCCTTATTTCGTCTTTTCCCTGTTTGTCACTTTTTGGCACAACCTCACTTTTCATGCTCGGAGTTGGTTTTTAATTTCACGTATCTCCATCCTAAGTGGTTTCTATGAAATACGTATCTTTACTTTTGCAAGAAAGTACTCTGATTGCTCTCAGTGTCCATAAGGGCATGGATGCACAGTTCTTCAGAATCTTTTTCTTTTTTTGGGATGTTTTTCATAAATATCCTTTGAAGATATTTTATTTTAGGAGTTTTTAATAAAATATTTTTGGAAGATATTTTCATTCTAAATCATTAATACAGGTCATCGTGTAATTAACGAAAGTTATTGCAAAATACCTCGTTTTGAGCCTGGATCCTCGTACGGGATTCATTTTCACATTTCATCGAGTCGTGTACTCTTAGAATTCTCTTCCGGTCGTTTTTCCCAGTTTTAGGGATTTCTGACCCTAGTTGCCGCCAAATTTGTTTGGGGCAGATCTCTCTGCTCGGGACTCAGTTTTCGACGTTATTTCTTTTGTTGTTCATATTTTCTCATTTCGGTTCTTTTTCGTTCACGGAGTTTTTCCGTTTGAGCACGTTTTCTCAAATTCCACTTTTCCGGACCTAGCGAGACCCTTTCGGGGCACTTTTAGGGTTTTCATATAAATAGAATGTCTTAAAGTGAAAAGTCACTTTTTCACCATCTTCCTCCCCCTCTTGGCCGGCAGCCATGGGAGCCCAAGGGGCTGCCTTCACTCTTTCTTCTCCTCCACTTGATTTCCTTGGTAGAAAGTCTTCAGCCTTAACATTTATCGTAGGCCTCGACGTACTCTACCTTTCCCCGTTATTAGAACCCGTTTCTGACCATTTCTAGAGTTCGGGTTTGAAGTCAAGTTGTGATTTTCATGGGGCTTCCTTGAGATTCTTGTTCATCGTGTTGTCCCCGACAAAACCCCAAAGTATCGTCAGATTCGGAGCACTTTTCTTTTGGTGAGGATTTGAGATTTTCATCTCAAATTGAGGTAGGGAGTGTTATAATTTATATTCTTATTATTATTATGCATGTTATTGATACTTATATAACTTGTATGCTTGCTTTTGTTCAAGATCTAGAGAATTTAATTTAATTTGATTTAAATTCTACTCAATTGTACCTTGCTTGTTTTCCACTTTTGACTTGATATATGGCATGGCCATGACTTAATCCTTGACATATATTAATTTTGGATCATTTGAACAACCTTTGAAATCTAGAGATTTAATTAATTTTAAATTAATTAAATTCCACATGATGTTATCTTGCTTAATTTGTGAAATTGATGTGATATTTGCAATCACCATGGAATGGAGATTCACATATGTTATTTTGAGAAATTTTGGACAACTTTGATTTCTAGAGAAATTAATTAATTAGCTTAATTAATTTCTACTTAGTGTTCTAAGGAATTGGACTTGTATTTCATGGGGCTTTTGTCTTTTTATAATGTATCATGACTTGTTACAACTTAACTCCATTAATGTAGTTAATGAACTTGCACACTTATATTGGAATGATTTAATTGTTCAAGAGTTGTTAAACAAATAATTAAATCATTAAATTTATACTAGTGGTATATTTACATCAATGCATTCCTTGTGCTATAAATACTAGTTTGTAATCTATGTAGATGCACACTATGATTTCTTGACATTTCACATGCCATCATAGTTGAGAATTTAGGGCATGACTTGTGTGTTTCCAAAATCTTGGTTGTGCATGAAACGTGGTTAATGCATTTCTTGTATCTTGATACTATCTTGACTTGCACAACTTGTTGATTTTAGAACTTAGGATATCAATCAAGAATTGACATGGCTAGGACTTAATTCTAGTACGGGGGAATATCCCTCTACAACTATAGTGCGCACTATGGGAAGGTACCCAAGGGTTAGTAGCCCTAAAGTGATCCCAAGAGTATGATTTTAATCCGGGCGATATCCGAGTTCCCACATTGGTTGATTTCACTCTTTAAATTTCAAGTTGTTATTTCTTGAAGATTTAAACTTGTCGTGTTATGTGAAATGCTCCAATCTTGTTCCATTGCATAGATTTTATGCTTCATCCGTTATTTCACTCCTTAAATTTCAAGTGTTATGTTCCTTGAAGATTTAAGACCTTTTCGTGTTATATGGAATATTCCATCCTTATTTATTTGCATAGATATTATGCCTTGTTCTTGATTTCGTGTATTATTCCTATCCTGTTAATTGGAATGTTCCAATTTTGTTTACTTGCATAGATATTATGCCTTATTCTTGATTTTATGTATTAAACTTATCGTGTTAATTGAATTGTTTCAACCTTGTTAAATTTCCTAGTTATCTCGTTTCATGTTACATTATGCTATTGGGACTTTGGAATGATCCTATATATGTAACTTGACTTAGATTCTAGGTAGCATGGACCACATGTAATGATTTATATCAACATGCAAAATCTCTAAACCCTTAGATTTCAAGTGTTATCTCTTGAAGATCCAAAAACCTTGTTATGATATATGAAGTGTTTCCTACCTTGTTTAATTGTATAGACATTATGCTCACTTCATGTATTTAGACTTCATTCGGTATACTTGAAACTGTGTTCTTGTATCTAGATTCCATTTAGCATACTCGTGTCTTGTATACTTGCCTTGTGTGTTTCCAATCTCGTTAGTATACCTATGTTTTGTATACTTATCTCGCATGCTTTCATCTTCCTTTAGTACACTTGTAACCGGTATGTTTGCATGTCATGTATCTCATTTCAATTGCATGAGTAGCTTAGGATACTCCCTGAGTCTAACCTTTGACATAGACGTTAGGTGGCATGTCCCTTTTGAATCATTTCAAGTCAATATAAAAATCTCTAAAGAAATCGAGTCGATGCATGCTCATTCTCTACGAGTAAACTTGTTTACTCACCCCGAAGTTACTGGAGGGTTGTTTCAGGTACGAAGACTTGGTTCGTGATGTTCATCATTGCTTGGATGATTGTAGATTTGAAGGTCTTAATTCTTGTAAAGGTTGGCTTGAAATGCCACCTATAGCCTTTTATGTCAAAATGTGTATATTTGATTCAATGTATGTAATGTGTACATAAGTACACTCTATGCAATGTATTTGACATGTTTGGATGAGGCCGGAGGCCAATGACATGTATCTTGTATTCTATGTAACTTTTAAACTTCATGAAATATTGTGAAAACCTTGAAAAATCGCAAGTCATTGTTTCGCCATGTTTTAATCGGGTGTGGGAATTCCATTTTTATTCTTTTATGGGGTCTCATTAGTCATGTATGAAGTGTGGCCAAGGGCCAAATGATCATTTGACCCCATTTTATATTTTTGGATTTTATGTTTTCCATTTCAAGTTCATTTTCGCCTTTTTGGCCATTGGGGGGTCGGATTTTGCATCGGTGGTATTTTTAAGTCGTGGACCATTGTGACACGTCCTATTAAGTAAGTTAC